TGGGTATAAAATAAATTAACTAAGTATATAGTTATGATGAGCAAGAATGCTTCTTCCAAAATTGTGAATTTTATGACCCCATGGTCAGGGGTTCTTGTGTTACAATAATTCTTTGAAAATCTTCCTCTCTGCTCTTGAGTATTAAATAAACTCTCTAATTATATAGTTATGATGAGCAAGAATGCCTCTTCCAAAATTGTGATTTTTTATGGCCCCAGGGTCAGGGGTTCCTGTGCTAGGGCGGGGCTCTATTGATAATATAGTTAAAATGGATTATTTTTATAAAAATCTTCTTCTCTGTTTTGGGGTATTAAATAAACTAAGTTAGTAAATAGTTATGATGTAGAAGAATACCTTTGTGAATTTTATGACCCCAGGGTCAGGGGCTCTATTCGTTATATAGAGAAAATGCAGAAATTGTTTGAAAATCTTCTTCTCTGCTTCTGGGAACTAAGCAGATGAACTACCAATATAGCTATAATGAGCAAGGGCCATTCTTCCTGAATTATAAATTTCAACACCCATTGGTCAGGGGTAACATAGAGGGGGGCTCTACTTATATACTGGAAATGAATTAATCGATTGAAATCTTCTTCTTTGTATTAATCAAATATTATTGATAAGCAAGGGTGCCTTTTCCAAAATTTTGAATTGTGTGGGCCAAGGATCAGGGGTTCATGTGTGGTAGTGGTACTATACTGATTATTTCTGAATATTACTGATAAGCATTTTTTTGGTCTATGGGTATTTAGTAACCAAACTAAACAAGCTGATTGTATACATGTAGTTATGATTAGCAATGGTGCCTCTTTCAAAATTGTGAATGCCATGACATCTAGTTTAAAATATCAATCATTATCAAAGTCAATCATTGTAAAGTTGTTGCATGCTGCTCAGGTGACCTATAAGGCTCATGGGCCTCTTGTTTAGTATTCTGTCAGTCAATGAAATAATAAAAAATAATTATTTAAAACTTCATATAGGTATTAAACCTTTTTTCGTTATGAAAATATTCATTCTTTAATATTTTGAACCATTTTGAGTGAAGAATCGTGCGTTTGCGTTAGCAATCGTTTAAGATCGTGTAACGTGTAGAATCGTGTGCGTGAGGAATCGTTCGTGTAATAGGTTTTATCGAGCGTTAATCGTGCGGAATCGTTCGCGTAACGTGATCGTGAGTGTAAGTTGTCAACAATAACGTTGCAGCAACTGTATATAGAATAAAACTGTTATGTAAAATTCAGCGCTTGTGCAAAAATCGGATTATACTGTACATAAACAAATTAACATGTAAATAAATGTATTACAATAAAAGATTTATCTACAAGTTCAATGGGTAGCACCTACATGTATCATCTGTTTCATAACAAAATTTTAATTGTTTATTTTATGCATGTGTTTTTTTCATGATTTTAAATAATTAGTTATTTGATACCAAAAGGATAGTTGTCTATCTATTTTATTTTCCTTTTTTAAATTAAAAAAAAAGAATACTTAAGTCTCTGTATTTGAATGATTTATATTTCTATTTCATTTTTCCTCTTCGAAAATTTATTCAAACTAAAAAATAAAAAAAAATAAGAGATGATAATCAAGTAATTATTTCAAGGGTTACCAACTGGATTATGATTTACTCTGAAACAAAAAATGACATGAATCTCCCCATACCAAACGGTAACTTCTGAAGTAAAGATAGTGATCATAGTTTCAAAAAAAGTATATATGTCGTACAAAATCCTCAACGTGTTTGTGTTTCCTCAGCATTATTGTCAATAGATCTATTGGGTCTAATGTGGTTTGAGGAATCGACAAGGGATGCTTACTTCCCCTTATCACATGATCCTACAATAACAAACTTTGGACGAGCCGTGTTTTATGCCCTGTATGCTCAAAGATTTCTATTGTTTGTGGGAATTAGATCTGAATATGTATGGCGGAAAAGACATTTATACAAAAGTAATGGTAATACAAATATCCATATGCACAGCTTACTACCTAGTACGTAAAATAAGTACAAATACAGGATGATAGACTGAGTAAAACTAAGAGTTAATGATAAGAAAGGTTTTGTAAACCTTAAAAGGCATTTACCAAATAGTCTCCTACAAAAATAAAAAAAGAAATCCATTGTCTTCAGTTGCTTTCCGAGCATTTATAATTCCAAAAAAAAAGAGATGAAACCTTCAAAAATGCAGAAAGGTCCAGACTTTTCGTATGGATAAATTTTGAATGCAATCAATTGTAGTCGGTTGTATACATGTTATAAATGATAACATGGATTACAAACGTCAGTAACTAAATTCATGACTGCAAAAGAAAAATATAATCAGCATAGCATTAATCATCACAATTAATATTTTTTTCATGGATTTCTTCTGTCCATAAATTGAGAGATATCCTAGCCATGAACATTACACCATACATGATAAAATGTTTTGCTTATCAACCTGAAAATGTAAAACATTTTTTACAAATTCATTTTCAATAAATAGAGCAGGATTATAAATGAAAATACACTATTTACAATTACCTGTTTTAGGAATATTTCATTTCTCATTTTTTTTTATTTAAAAAAAAAATCCATGACTTTAGATATTATAAAAAAAACTTGTTTTTGTGTATAGGATGGAGCAATGGTTATGTTTTTTTAGTTATACCATATGTGCTCGATTTGCCAGCACAGTGCACGATATACAATTTATTACCTCGAATCATTTCAATCAAAACATTTCTACTCAATCTCCGAATTTCTTTGATATTAAAAGAATAAAGTATATTAATGTGCATGTATGTACAGTGTTCTCCATGGGCCGTTTTACGTGGCGGTCCCGTCACACTTAAATCCCTTAGCGCCACAGTTACAAAATCAGCGCCATTCTTCTGCCTCCATTTTACATATTAGTGCCACAGTAAAACTTTTACCGTCAGTAAGTTTATTAAACAAATGAAAGTCAAAATTATGTATTGTTGTTCAGTTTCTGATGGTAAACCAATGATTTATTTCAATCCTGCTAATAAGGACCCAATTAGGTCCCAACTCATCAACGTGGCTCAGTGGTTTTCAAGAGTGCTTGCTCTAGAGTCGCGGAGTAAAGAGCTTATTGTAACGTAGTGGGTTCGAATCCCACTTTGGAGCAAGGAGACCGGTCCTTCGGATGAGACCATACAAACTGAGGTCCCGTGTCGCAGTAGGTGCTCTCCCGAAAAAGGATCCCTCACTGCTCAATAGCCGCAAGTGCCGATTATTATTAAGAATTTGTAGCCCTCCACTGGCAAGTGATGGCCTCTCCATGTAAATGAAAAATCCAATTGAAATCTTTTATATTTAATAGATGTTGTCATGAGACAGTAATGCTCACACTAATGTGTTTGCCTATAAAAACACACTCATTCAAGTTGGGTTTTCCAAGGGAAAAGTCAAAATAATTCTATATTCTAAACGGTACATATATATGCTAAAAATGTGAATAAAATCCTTAGCTGACTATGTGACCTATGAGCTTCTCATGTGTATTTTATATACTTAATTCATTAACGTTCTAAAATAACTGATTTTAATTGATGATGTAAATTAGATTTTAATAGTCTTTTTGCCCATATTAATTCCATAAATTTAGTTACTTTCTCAACAGCAAATAATACTATTTTACTACAAAGCGTTTTGGATGAATTTATCAAAAGTGCAAACTTTTTTTTTAGCATTTGGTCAGGTTAAAAAAGTGCATATCCAACCCAATCAATTTGTAAATGCTCAACCCCTTCACATTTTTGAATAGGCCTATATGGCAAAGTTATGTTAAAACATCTTTTGTTATGATAATTTAAAATTTGTTCTTCTCCTTTGTATGTTTACAAATTAACATCTTTTTGAAAATTCCTTCAACACATCGAGTTTTCGTTATCCATTATCATATTTTTAGATAGCACCACTCAGCACACCTCGGTCGATTCATTCTTCATCTGATGTAGCACATGCTGTATCATTGTGCCGTGTGTTTATAGAAGTTGAAATAATTCATTTTATGTTTTAGTTGGATTATATTTCATGGAATTGACAGGAACTATGACAGGTTATGTTAAAGTTCAAAAAGGGTCAAATATCATCGCATGCCACAATTGACGAATTTCACATTGTGAGTCGGCATTTGACTTTATGCATATGATAATTGTATTTTTGGAAAAGGTCATTGTATTGACCATAGGACTTACAAAATTATGATTTGAAACGAGACCGCTGATATTCTTGTTTCATCAACTTGTTTGTCAATAACTTATCTCGTCATAGAAATTGTACAACTGTACAGCATGCCCTGGAGTATTGAATCAACAGAGATATAAACCATGAATGCAGATGATGAGGGAATGTTCCTGCATAAGTTAGGTACGTTGAAGATTAAAAAGTTAAAGTGTCATCAGGTTTTTATCAAGTTTAATTTTTAGATATGAATATATTCCAAGTTGAAATTGTTCAAATAAAACATTTTTTAAACCCTATAGGTTTACACTTTTTTCAAAAGAACGAGTCCTAAATTCAAATATTAAAGCCAGAAAAACAAATTGAGCAGGAAAATAAGAAAAATACTTTTATTTTTGTTTGAGTTTGAATATGTTACTGAAGACTTACTACAGCTTTTCACCTGGCACTCCTCAAATATTAAAACACCCAAAAACCATTGTGCCTGATGTTTTATTTAAGTCTAAAGAAACGTTTAGTAGGAATTATTTTTTTCATCCTTTGCAGTAAACATTCAGGGCACTTCATCATTCATTCTTGAGAGTCAAATAACCAACTCAATACATGTACCTTCTGGTTTTGTTTATGTTCAGTATGTGCATCGTCATGCAGAGAAAACATGTAATGTCCTTTACTCTATCCACTGAATTTCTTCACGCTTTTTTAAAAATGTAAGCAAATTGCCTGCCACATTTAATTTGTGAATTTGCTAACAAATAACATTTTCTTTTAATCTGACACATGAAAAAAATGATCAAAAACTTACAGTCTCTTTAAATTTGGCAATCCATTAAAGGCATTGTCTCGAATGGTTGTTATCTGGTTGCTACCTAGGTATCTGAAGTAAAATTTACCACTTCTGTAAAATTTACACTCTTTGTATTTGTGTACACATTTATAAAATTATTATTGAATCGTACTTAAGCTTTTCAGTGTATAATGAATGGATTTGAACGATTTAAAACAATTTTAAACTAGTTAAAAATGCATTGCTAGATAACAATAAAATAGAATGGAACCATATTCACAAGACTGATAACATGTAAGGAGATAATCATTTTTCATGTTAAATTTAAGTTTTTAAAGAGTAATCTGCACTTGATATAAAGCAGAAAATTTTCGATTTCTAAAAATGTCTGCGGTAAATAATTTATTTTATTTTATATTTTAATAAAGAGGAAGTTTATTTGTTTGAAATTCAAATAACTTTTTGTAAATGTGCTGCCCATAGACTTCAGTGTTACATTCAAGATGCAATAAATTGGACAATAATCAAAATTTTGTAAATCCCTTTAATGGAGCATTTTTTTCTACTAACATATTCAAAATACTACCTTGATTAAACATATTGGATCAAATGGTGGTTATACATTAAACACCTTTAAAAAAATATTCATATACTCGGTAATCATTATATAAAAATAGCTAAGATAAGCACTAATTAAATCTCAATATATGATATCTAAGTTGAAACTATTCATAAGTTGCCCTTACCCCAGCTATAATTAACATGATTGAATGTTATTAGGTCTTTCCACCTTTCCGTGGAATGACCAACTGAAATTGTTCTGTTTATTATTATTTTTCGTTATCATTTTTCCGCCGAATGGTTTTTTGTTTCACAAGTTATCGAATAGATTTATTGTTCATAAGAATGTACTCCCTAAATCATTTTTTTCTTTTAACCCTGCGTATATGAACTTCGACTCCTTTCGCAGTTGTCGCCCCTTTCGCAAAAATGCTTGTTATCACTACTCCTCCAAAACCGTAAAACGTAGAGAAATGAAACCTTCACCAATGTCTTTGACTAATTGAGAAAACCTTAAATCCTTCTTTCAAAAGTATTCATTGACCCCTTCAATGAGCACTGCCCCTGAAAATTCTTGAATTTTACAAATAATTAAAAATTTTCAAAACGAGAAGTCGTAGAGACCTGGGACCAACTGCAAAAAATTCCTTTACCTTTGTCCTTACAATCAATGTAAGGGTCATGGTCAAGGTCATTCCAAAAATGAGAAATTAAGCTCTTTTTATATTTTTTTTTATCTTTTAACATATACAACCTGTCTTGGAATCACTAATATGTACTCTTAAAACTATTTCAAAGATTTCATTCTTGTCCCTTAAGATTGACCCTATTAAAAGTTATCGCCCCTTGTGTGAAAACGTTGTTATTGCTACTGTTCCAAAACCATAAACCGCAAAGACATGAAACCTTCACTAATGTCTTAGAGGTTTTTGGGATAACTTTATGTTCACAAGCGAAAGGATCTGGTGATTCCTTAAATTAGCTACTGCCCTTTAATGCTTTTGTGCTTACCAATAAACCCTATACCTTTTAATCTATAAGTCTATCTATAATCTATAAGAGACATGGGGTTAATTAAAATGTGACCCTTGATCCTCGACCTTGAATATAACTTGAAAGTTTAAGGTCACTTCCATATTTTTAAATTTTTCATTTTTTTTCTTTTTAGCCATTCCTGGTTTCTTTTTGATGAAATTTAATTTTAAAGAGATAAATATTAAATGTAATTGAAATTCTAAGAAGGTGGAAAAACCTCTTATTGTACTGTGAACAATAAGTCTTCTAGTTGTATATTTATGTGCTTGTGTTCACTATCGTCATTTATCTGGTCAATAAATGACATGTTCACTTAACTCAAGTTGTCATGTCTTCTCTAGTGGTTCAAGTAACAAGTACGTTCAAGCTACAGAAAGCCTTTTTCATTTTGTCAGATTTATTATTATTAGTGGAAAAGTTTTGTATATAAAATTTATCTCATATGAAAGACTCGTATATTTAAAAGCAGGGTTTTCGTGTATCAAAGTACCTATATTGGCTACTTCAAGACGGAGGTTACATCCCCTCCCTTTAAACCGTTTTCGGAGAAAGTAAAGCCTAACAGTTAAGTTCTTGTTATAAGATTCCTTTAACATCTTCAACAATGCTTTCTTACATTAGACTACGTATGACTACCTAGTAACTTACCATGGTTCAACAATGAATTACAAGCCTTGCCTAGCACGTTTTGTACTGCCACCATTCAAAGAGTTAATTTTCACGGTCCCATGATCCTTAAAACTTTCAGTCAGAAGTTCGTTTGATATAAAGCTCCAGCAATTGTCACATAATGTTTTCAATAACGTAAATGGCAAAATTTTTAACATGATCTACTTTCTTTTAGGAATGTCAACATCAACAGTGATACCTCATCAAGTTATACGTTATCATTTCGAGTTAGAAATCATTCATATAGTTTCACAGAGGATGTCTCAAAAGTCTTGTTGAAACGAAAGCCGTATGAGATAAACAGAACATCTTTATTTGTGTGATTTGATATTGGATTTATCCAACGAGTTGAAATGGTGTATATTCGCTCGGCAAGCCAGGCGAATATATTCACCATTTCAACTCATTGGATAAATCAAATCACACAATATAGAAATCATTTATATATCTTTTTCATCTTTCTTATAAAATGAATAATGATTCTAAATGATCATTATACATGTAATGAATAAAGGTAGAAACATTCATCGGAGTACGTTTTATGTAGTCAGTTTTTGTCGTCAGCACAAAAATTATTAGATAAGTACTTCTAATTACCTACATGTAAAAGTACAATATCCATGTGCTTTCAGGAACCTGTTTGATTTCTTGATAGGATTTTTCTTAAAAAGTGCAATTCCTCTCAATAAAATCAGAAAATAAAAATCTTCGGTTATCCCATCATTCTCATAAAACAGGATTTAATTCTATGTGATGTCATATACGATGTCAGAGAAAGTGAAATTGATAAAAATACGAATATTCTTTTTTTAAAATTTCCTCAGTTGTAAAGCACCTTTTCATTCCAAAAATAATAGAAAAGCATTCCTAGCTTCATTACATCTACCTATATTTACTAATTTCACACTTTTCATTGATCAGAATGAAGTACACCTTGTGTATATAAAATCTTATACAGAACAGCTTAATTGTTCTTCATGTTTTCAAAGGAAAAATTAAAATAAACAAATTGTTATAGAAAACTGCGGAAGTGTTCTAAAATATTTAATTTTAACACCATTTCGTGGCCCCTGTATATGCTTTCAAACAAAATTAATGCTGGTTAAAACACAAGCATCATTAATTTTTTTGGTTGAAAACTATTACCAGTGAATTGTGTTTATATTTTCAATATCATAAAAGGGAAGCGGCCAAATTCGGCATTAAAATACCTTGTCTTTCGCTGCAGTAAGATCAAATCGTCCTTTTGAATTTAATTGATATTTGTATGATAGGTCTCCTGTTCTAATGAAATTGTATTATTATTATTATCTATATGCTTTGCACAATATTACATGTAAATATTAAATTCCAATTAGCTCGCATTTCCGGTCGACGTTTGAAAGCCATGTTCGGGTGTTTTCTTTTGTACAGGTAAATTTCTAGTTCTCAATTTAAAATTTCTATGACTGACGAGTAAACAATCATTGACCAATGGATTTCACTTATTTATTTTATGCATGTCTTTAAATACTCTTGCAATATATGAAGTAAGAAACCTGCCAAAACAATTTCTTTGTATGTATAATACATGTAGTATGTACACGTTATTTATGTTTCTGTTCGTAACATGATGATGTCAAGGTTTCTATCGTGACTGTTAAAAGGATTTTGAATTGAAGTTTGCAGTATCATGGAGGTTAATATTTTTTTTAAAAAGAAAACATTGTAATATTGCTCGTGTTGTTATAAAAAAATTGTGTTACGTGTCGCATTTCCCCGTCGCTCGATACAATGTGACAAAGTTACGGAATAATAATCAGATTTAAAATATAAATTATTCGGATATAAGACGGATATGGAGATAACAAACAGTATTCAATCTCAACGTCCATTAAACAATATACAAAATAAGAGCAGAGCAAACACGGACCTCTGAAACATCAGAGGTGGGATCAGGTGCCATGGAGGAGTGAGCATCCCCTGCCGACCGGTCAAACCGGCCGTGTGCTCGTTGTCATGATCAGGAAATAACGGAAAAATCCATCGTCAATTCAGTGTATAAATAATGGACTAACAATTGGTATAAAAACGTCAGTGAGCATTTGTCTCAATGATAAATTGTATTTGCTGACAAGGTCATTGTATCGACCATAGAATTTACGAAATGATGACTTTAAACGAGACTGTTGATATTCTTGTTTCATCAATTTGCTTGTCAATAATTTACCTCGTTTAAGAAATTGTTCATACGTAGAGCACGCATATTAAAACATCTTGCTTAGGATATAATATTTTGAAATTATGAATCTGGAAGGAAACAAATATAGGACGACGCATATGATTTAACCCCCTTTTACCGGGTAATTGCTAGCTGTCGGGAAACCACTTACCTCGGTCCAAAGCCTGGTCATTTTTTTTACAGATCTTGCATCTAGAAAAAAAATCAAGTAGGAAATACCTTCTAAAATATTTATTTAGTTTATAATATTTTTATAAAATGAAGCTTCCAAAAAGCGTTCCCAAGCTTTATTTTACTAGGATACTTATTTATAAACTACTTTCTTTTTTGTTTTGCATAAACGTCGCGCAATTTGAATTACTTCCCTTTGTGTCGACAGTTTACATCGACAGAACTTGGTTCTATATTCGTTTTAACATTTGATATTAATTAACAAACACACAGTATGATTGAAATTGTCAACTTATTCAAAAAAATTTAATGTTACAAGAAAAAAAATTATGTAGGATATTGTTTGCAGCAAAAATATTTTGCAAGCTTTATTTCATAATTTTACGATCAACATTGTAATTGATTTACACATGAAAAACAATGACTTTATTTT